ATATATATATGTACATACATACACACATACACGTACTGGCATATGTATCTTCCAGCATACTGCGGTCACGCTGGTGTATTTGCAAGTTCCCCAAACATGAGTGCGTCTGCTTTGTCCCTGCAACTGCTAGTATGTCACAGCGTGGCTTGATGTGGAAGTAAGCTGTGCTGTGGACATGTCGATTGCGTCGCAAGCCTCGGCTCAGCACGGTTTCGAAAAGCTAATTATATGTGTATGCATATATGCACGCATACATGCCTACATACATATTTCGTATGCGGACATGTATTTTTATGCACATGGAATACTTAGCTACAATTTAGCAAGCTATTGTTATAAACGTAGCTATATTACATACATAAGTATAAGTATGGGTGTGGGTCGTGGTGGTGGTGGTGGTGGGTGGGTATGTACGTCCAGGTCTTCATTGTATGTATACACATCCGCGGATTCGCATATTTGTGTACATGTCTTTGGAATTTGGCTGAGGTCGGGTGTATGCGTGTGTGCTCATTTCAGGTATGCCAGGTATGCTTGCGCATGGCTTCAGTCTGCGCATGCACCGTAGTTCCGGCAGTGACCTGTGCCTCTCGGAGCCGACAACTTTCTGTTATTGCCCGGCACACGCAGTGTGTGTTGAAGTGCAGCACTTGCATATTGAGTGGTGGCGTGCACTGTTTCAGTTTCGTCAGGTGCGAGGAGAGAGAAAACATTCGACGTGCGGAAAAGCTGGCTGCCCAAGCCTTGGGCAAGGACCTGCACCCGGAGAGATGTTGTAAACTAGTTTTCAACTTCAACGTACCCACAAGGCTTGCAAGAGTCAGCCTGCAAAGCGACTAGTGGTATGCTTCAGGAACCCCCCATCGCCCCTCCAAACCCACACCTGCCCCCCAAGCTTGGCGATTGATATTGTCCTGGATTCGCGAGGACCAAGTTGAGAACCACGAAATTATAGCCAAGGACAGGGTGCAAGTTGTCAGTTCTCTTGTCGGTGTACTCGGTGTTCCATGTTTAGGTTCTGCTGGTGGTTTGCAGGTGTCACCTTGGACAAGTTACACAGTGGAGTTGCATAGCTATTCGGTCATGCTTTGTCAGCAGGACCTGCTGGACAAGAACCCCAAGTGCACGACAGCAGGAAACTGCAAGCCTAATCCGAACGGAGGTCCGTGTCTTGACCGGAAATATCGATGTTTGGTTGCAACCACGACATTACGACGGCCACGGACTGGTGCGCTTGCAACCCGTATGGTAACTTATTGAGGTATTGCAGCCGCCAGTTCGGCGGTGTTTGCACTCCGCCCGAGACCAAGTTGACCTGTCACAGGCTTGTGGAAGCTGTGTGCAGCCTGGACCGTAGCCAGTTTGAGGTGCTACATTCCCGGCACGCAGGCTACGTCAACTTGCCTTTTAACAGCCCGGTTCTTCCAGCGTGCTCGACAGAGCTGTTTCGTTTTGATGACCAAACCCTCATTGCCGGTTCTGCTGCTGGCACTGTCGGAGGACCCGTATTTGACTCCGGATAATACCCCGACATGCCCGTCGCGAGCCAAGTTGGGGCTCTTCTTTGACTGTGCTACGGAAAGGCCATGGCCCAGTAAAGTGCTGGAGCTGCTATGGGCTTTTGTGAGAGTGGTGAACGGACAGCATGCTCTCGGCCAGTCTTTCAAGAAAGGTTCTCCCTCAAGGAAGAAATGGGCGGCATGGCGGGGGTTGCCCCCAACACAAGATGCCGCTTGTTTGAGATTTTGTGGGAAGAGACTTTCGGCAGCTTCTTGTGCTTGCGATTAGCTTGGCATGCTTCGGTTGCTTGCTAGATAGATGACCCCTTGTTGACGTGGCTTCGGAACAGTTGTTCTCCATCAGTAAGCTCTCTACAGCTATAGGCTAGTTGCCAGTTCCCGCCCCATCGTCAGGCAAGTCCAAAAGTGCGAGCGACCTCTGCTGCTTGTACGGCATCGATGGCGGCTGTGACAAAGACTTCTCCGACGGACACGAGGGATTGCTGTTTGTGGCATCTCAGCCTGCGCCAATAAACCGACCTACAAGTCAGGAGAAGTCAGGTAAACGAAGCAGAGACTATGTAGGTAGCTAGACGTCTCTTTTCTAGGCCCAGACTGTTGCAGTTGTTGTTGTTGCTCATGGCCAGGCGAATTTGTTCGCACTGCTGCAGTACATTTGCTTTGCATGTTTTGATGTGCTCACCCGCTGCTGGCGTATCGCCATGTTAGTTGCTGTTTTGTTGAAGCAGGCACATGTCACTTGTGTCCTCTTCGCCATGGAGCATGTTGCAGTCAGTAGGCCGTGGGCGCTGTGCTCCGGAAGAACCCAGAAGAACCGTGTGCTGGAGCATGGTCTGTGCTTCTGTCATATTTGTGCATTGTTTGTTCGTGTGTTGCTGTCGTCACTCCGTGTTTCGTTGCAGTGCTGTTGTCCTGGTTTGACGTGGTGTTGCTTGTCGACCAAACCCAAACGTCGATAGTTGCGATCAGACTTAGTGCGGACAAGCTACCTCAGGCCTCTTGAATGCAAGCACGCTGAAGTACATAAACGCAGTCAAGGCCTTCAGCCGACAATCCTGCGCAACATAACGTTGCAATCACGCAAGGCGCTTGGCCGGTAAATCTTGTGTAACGGTTCCGGACGGTTCCCATTACGACTGGGCATATACATATATGTATGTATATGCATGTACGTGTATATATATATATACATAGATGTACATCTCTCTCTCGCCATCTCTCTACATCGCCTAGGCCCCTAGAAAAAAAACCTATCGTTCCAAGAGCCAGCCCAACCCCCCATGCATAGACCTGAAGGCCCCAGCACCGTGAAATCTCGGGGCTTGAGCCCCAGTTGCGCCTGCGGACAGGATCGAAAGTGACGACAGACATGGAAGGCCGGCCATTACGGCAGTGGTTGTGGCAGTCGTAGCGCTGGTCGTGGGGGGGTAATTCTCAAAGTCCGCACTCCTACTTAGTGGGAAGAGGAACAACGAGTGGGTAAAGCGACCACTGGAAGCTGTGGCTGTTGAATCTGCGGAGTTTGTACAGGCAATTTTCGGAACAAGGTCCATAGCCGTAGCCGAAACTCCAAACCTTTCGGGAAGTTGACACCCGACCCAAAACTCCTATGCATGATTATGTATAAGTCCCCAGCCAATGTGCCAGAGTCGAGCTTTGCAGGTTACTTGGGTGTCATGGCTACGGCTCACAAGGAGACTTATGAGTATGGTTCGCGCCTAATGCATATGAGCTGTCGTGTGTTTCCTGTTTCCTGCTAGCCTCTGAGCTTCACTGAGGGAGAGAGGACTATGTAATTACTTGCAAGCAAGCAAGCAAGCAAGCAAGCAAGCAAGCAAGCAAGCAAGCAAGCAAGCAAGCAAGCAAGCAAGCAAGCAAGCAAGCAAGCAAGCAAGCAAGCAAGCAAGCAAGCAAGATATTGCAGCATATACGTACATACAACTGTATCTAAACGAGTAAATAAGTGCAACATTGTGTACATATATATATATATATATATGTGCATACACATGTATATGTATATGGTTAGGGACCTAGTGGAGCTTCACATCGGTTTCCATTTTCTAGACCGGCAGCAGTGTCTTTGCCGCTTGCTTCTGAGATGTTTGGAGGACCCAGTTCAGATGTTCAACTTTGCCAGCAAGTGGATCCAGGAGTGCAGACACTGGGGTTTAGGGCTTAGGGCTTAGGGTCTAGGGACTGGCCGGCTCTCTTGACAGCTTTGTATCTGCAGTGCAGGCATGATGTGCCACAGTATGCCCCCGGGCTTGTCTTGATGAAGTAGGCTTAGACATATTTGGACATTCCGCATAGGTCTCACAGCGTCGCAGAAAGGGACGAATTGGGTTTCCGGACCTAGCCCCGCCCATGGCTGTTGCAGGAGAACCACGGAGAGGTACAAGACCAGGACCGCATTGCCGCAACCGGCTCACCAATGTGCGCCCTCTAATGTGGCGGCCTGCTTAATCAGGGCCCCCGCCCCCGACTATTCCTGCACGGCTTCCTTGATTTGTTACCCGTGACTCCATTGACCTTGGTTCAGTAAATTTGGGGAGATGGGTTGGCTCGGTGTCTGGGTGGCTTTGACTAATTGATAAGGGAATGGAGGGGTCCGAGGTTTTTGGGGCTGGGTTGGGGTCTGCTTAGTAGAAGGATATTATAAGAGGGTTTACGGAGAGCTTGCTGCAAAGGTTTTACTGTAGGGCTTGGAGGGGGCAAAAGTCTCGCTTCAGGGAAGAAGTTGTGGGCGCCTTAAGATTGACCCTTTGCAGAAAGGAGGCAAACTGAAACAAAAATCAGCAGGCCAACAAAAAACGTATTAAGGCAAAGAAAGGCATGAAAGACTCCCAAGATACTAAACAGGCCGCCACATTACTTCGGTCCATTGTGTCCATTGTTTGCTGCTGAAGGCGACAGCCGAACTTGGTTTGCCCGGTTGATGCCAGTGCATCGTCCGTATGTTTCCGTGGCTCGACGCTTTCGATGAACCCCCAGTAGGAGTATAAGTGAGTGGAATTATTCCTATAGTCTCCATTGTAGTTCCTTTTGGGGGATATCCCTATATATATATATATATATATATATATTTGGTTAAACCAAAAAAAGGAACTACAATGGAGACTATAGGTACATGGTTCAGCACCCAGAATGCTGCATCCGTTGTGCCGTTGCCTGTGTTGTTTTCTACGGTGCGGCAGGACAAGTTGAAAGATGAGGTCACCTCCTCAGCAGGTTTAGGGTTTAGGGTTTAGGGTTGCAGCAGCCGAGGGCCGCAGACTGCTAGTTGTCAATACACTTTCATCATAACCCTAGCCCCCCCCGGGTACCTACTATATAGGGTACTAGAGCCCCTAGGGCCCTACATAGTAGGTACCCGAGATTGTCGGGTAATATCTTCTACTTGCTCGTCTGCTTGGGGTTTGAGGCCCAGAGCTTTCGCGTCGGAGTAGGTTTTGCAGCAAGCCGGAGTTGACGGCACAGGCCTTTGTGGCTTTGGGTTTGAAACGCCACCCGGAAGGATCCTTGAGCATCAGAAGTCTCAGGTGACGATAGGTAGAGCAGCCCTTCGCAGTTTTCCTCTAAAGGTTGATGCTTGCCTTTTTCAACTCAGATTGGCAAAGGTTGAATTTGCGACCGCTTGCTTTCATGGCATTCGTGAACCCGGAAGCAATTAAAAAACTCAGAGACGGATGCTCGAGCATCAGCTGACGGCGCATCAAGTGCATTACCCGAACCTCTCGTTGTTCGGCTTGTGGCCAACGTCATCGCTCTAGTAGTAGCAGAGGTAGAACTAGCAAAGGTAATAGCAGCGGCAGCAGCAGCAGCCGTAGCTGAAGCAGCAACAGCAGCAGCAGCAGTCGCAGTCGCAGTCTCAGTCGTTGCGGTAGTCGTAGTCTTTGTCGTCGTCGTAGTAGTAGTAGTAGTAGTAGTAGTAGTAGTAGCAGCGTTGCACGGATAGCGCCGTCGTCTCGAGGTCTACTGGATGTGGCGAATCCATCCGCCCAAAGCGCCTCTGCAGGCCAGCTTTTGACGATCTTTAAGGCTTTCGGTTTAGGGCTTAAGGCTTCAAGGTGTATAGGGTTTAGGGTTTAAGGCTTTAAGGCTTCAAGGTGTATAGGGTTTGAAGGTTTAGGGTTTAAGGCTTTAAGGTGTAGGCTTTCGTGTGTAGGGGCCGGGATGTTGGGCTCAGGGCTTGACGGTTCGGGCTTACTTAGTTGCAATGGTTTCGAGCACGCTCGCAAGGCTCGAAACCTTGTAAACCGAAAACTCGAAGAGGCTTGAAATCTCGAACTTCTCTCACGTCGGACTCAGCCGGTGTGGGTTCGGGCTTAAACGCCAAGATGACATAGGTTGGCCGCGAGCCAAGAGCCGTTTCCGAGTTTCGGATCTGAGCGTCCTACACTGTCTCGACTCAGCCCGGAAACCTGAAATCCTTACAGCCCAGCTGAGCCGTCTCCTGCCTAACGACTTCGGCAGGCGTGGGAGACTTTCCAGAAGAATCTGGAGGATCCCTGAACTTGCGCAGCATGACAAGCCGCAGCTGCGATCGCAAGACTTAAGAGTAGAGTAGCCTTCATCACCATCATCATCATCGTCCGTATCAGGTAACATCATCCTCTTCAAGAACATCATCATCGCCTTTGTTCCACAGCACAATCATCAACACTAATTTCGGCCACGGCAGCTTGAATCCGCAACATCTTGCAGCCGAGGCACAACTGCAACCGAAGGTGGAGCTGTACTCATCAGCTTTCAGCATCGCATAACACGAGGGAGCAGAACGCCAACACACGCGTAGAAAGAGGGACCAATATCAAGCCACTAAGTCTGCGAGTGTGCACTGCGACAACAGCGGGCAGTGCCACTGTAGGTGTAGGAACAGCAGCAGCAGCAGGAGGAGGAGTAGTAGTAGTAATAGTAATAGTAGTAGTAGTAGTAGTAGTAGTAGTAGTAGTAGTAGTAGTAGTCGTAGTAGTAGTAGTAGTAGTAGTAGTAGACACTGGGCCCACTCGGCGCCCCGACAGATTCATCGATTC